TTTGGTAAATGAGTATTTCTTTGGAAACTGTAACAAGATACCAAGAATAGAAAGTTTTTGAGAAATAAAAATGATAGCATTTCTGAGGCATAATGGGCCTTTTAATAAATATTCGTAATAAGATTGGAAATAACGATTCCTTGTCATACGACACTACGAGTTCCTGATTCACAGATGCTGTTTTATTTCTCTTTTATATCTTACTTCAAATGTTGAGAGCCATTTTTAACATGTTTTTAGCTCACCTGAGCACAAAGTGCTCAAGGGTGAGCTTTTGTCATCATTCTGCGTGCGTCTAGCGTCCTTCAAAAAATGGCGTCAAACTTTTCAAACAACATCTCCTCCTAAACCACATGGCCAATTGCAACCAAACTTTACAGAAATGATCCTTAGGTGGACCCCTTTCAAAGTTATTCAAAAATTTAAATTCCAGTAAAAACTCTGGTTGCCATGGCAACCAATAGGAAAAAACTTAAAAAATCTTCTTTTAAAAAACCCTAAGAGCTAGAGCTTAGATATTTGGCATGAAACATCTTCTAATGAGTGTCTACCAAGTTTGTTCAAATCAAAGCCCTGGGGTCAAAATTGGCCCCGCCCCAGGGGGTCATTGATTTTCCCTATATGCATATAGTCAAAACTTAAAAAATCTTCTTTTGAAGAACTCAAAGAGCTAGAGCTAAGATATTTAGCATGAAACATGTTCTAATGGGTGTCTACCAAGTTTGTTCAAATAAAAGCCCTGGGGTCAAAATTGGCCCCGCCCCGGGGGGTCATAGATTTTCCTTATATGTGTATAGCAAAAACTTAAAAATCTTCTTTGAAAAAACACAAATAGCTTGAGTTAAGATATTAAGCATGAAACATCTTCTAGTGTGTGTCTACAAAGTTTGTTCAACTAAAAGCCCTGGGGTCAATATTGGCCCCGCCACGGGTGTCATTGATTTTCCTTATATGTGTATAGCAAAAACTTAAATATCATCTTTGAAAAAACCCATATAGCTAGAGTTTAGATATTAAGCGTGAAACATCTTCTAGTGAGTGTCTACCAAGTTTGTTCAAATAAAAGCCCTGGGGTCAAAATTGGCCCCGCCCCAGGGGGTCATTGATTTTCCCTATATGCATACAGTAAAAACTTAAAATTCTTCTTTTAAAGAACTCAAAGAGCTAGATCTATGATATTTAGCATAAAACATGTTCTAATGGGTGTCTACCAAGTTTGTTCAAATAAAAGCCCTGGTGTCAAAATTGGCCCCGCCCCGGGGGTCATTGATTTTCCTTATATATGTATAGCAAAAACTTAAAAATCTTTTTTGAAAAACCCAAATAGCTGGAGTTTAGATATTAAGCATGAAACATCTTCTAGTGAGTGTCTACAAAGTTTGTTCAAATAAAAGCCCTTGGGTCAAAACTGGCCCGCCCGGTGTCATTGATTTTCCTTATATGTGTATAGCAAAAACTTAAATAGCTAGAGTTTAGATATTAAGCATGAAACATCTTCTAGTCAGTGTCTACAAAGTTTGTTCAAATAAAAGCCATGGGGTCAAAACTGGCCCCGCCCCAGGGGTGTCATTGTTTTTAACTATATGTGTATAGTAAAAACTTAAAAAATCTTCTTTTTAAAAACCCAATGAGCTAGAGCTTAGATGTTTAGCATGAAACATCTTCTTATTAGTGTCTACCAAGTTTGTTCAAATAAAAGCCCCTGGATTAAAATTGGCCCTGACGGGGGGGGGGAGTTGATCATTGTTTTTCATTATATGTGTGTAGTTAAAACTTAACATTGTGAAACATCTTCTAATGGGTGTCTTCCAAGTTTGTTCAAATAAAAGCCCTGGGGTTTAAACTGGCCCCGCTCCGGGGGCCTTTATACAGGTGAGCGACCTCAGGGCCATCATGGCCCTCTTGTTTTCTTTTGCTGTTATTTTTCTTTTGGTAAAACAATACAGACGAACCATTTCTGCGCGCTTTATTGAATCTAAAATGAGGGCGTAGTTAAAAATTGTAGCGTGAGTACATATCTTACTTATTTTGACTATTAAAGGTAAATAAAGAAAATAATAACACTTTTTTTGCCCCGAAAAAAAAATGAAGCAAAATAAAACAATGTGTTATTGATTGAATCGTACATATTTTGGTGGGGACGAAATATTTCTCTTTCCGCACTTTAATTTATATTTTTTTGCGGCCGTCAAATTTGAAAACCTGTCAAACAATATACCTTGGTCCAGGCAATGTGATGTGCACGGAAAACACGGGATTTCTGTGTAGTACAAAGCGCCTATAAGCAAAGGATTATGAAATTTAACAGATGCATTCGCTTTTGTTTCCTATTGCTTAGCTCTGTATATGTAAGTATGAAATGTATAATGGTATTTTCTTCTAGTAAAACATTTTTTTTAGTTATATTAAATCTAATTTTTACTTAGAATATCTAAAAGATTGTGCTTAGAAATATTATAAATTTAAGGGTATTATTACCTAGCTAAAATTTTTCTTTTATATATTTATATACATTTTAGAAATACAGTGAAATAATGAAAGGGAAATTATTTTTCTAAATTAGAGACGTATATCATCACTTGTATTTATACTCGACAAAAGCAAGACATGTAGTAGTAAAACAGGAGCATATTTTCACAATTACGATTTTAAAACGGAAAAAATCGTTGTTAATTAAAATAAATAATAATACATTATAACTTATAGAAATAATGAGATAATATCATATACATAAATTATTTAAATCAAAATCACTTATAAATCATATATAATTCATCTATAAAATTAAATTCATTACTAATTTTTCTTCTTTGAACATGATATTTCCTTTTGTTTTAAATCAAAAGTGTTATTGACATTTTTGTGTCGGGTACAGATCGTAAACCAGAAAAAACGCAAAATTAAAAACAAATATTCCATCTGACATCAATGAAGTTTCAAAAGAGAACGCACTTATTTGATATTGCAAACCCCTATGTTTTATAATGTTTTAATGATGAATTTATTTATACTTAAATTATTGTTTATAAGTGATTTATTACAAAATTAAGTTGGTCAAGACTAATGAACACTATTTTTTTTTTTATAAAACTGTCGGTTTACTTGACTGATTAAATTTAGCTGATGTACCAAAGTAAATGTGTAAAAATTCATTTGAAATACTGTAATTCTTTTGGACAAAAAATAATTTCAAACACCAAAGCATGATAGATGATAATCATGCGACGAAAGAAGAGTTAAATGTGCAATGATTCGTTATTAAAGATGACAAACTTAGTCAAAGTGGTATTTTGTCTGCCGCACAGAATAGATAGACGCCTTATGTAGTGTAACGCCCAGATCTGAATATGAATAAGTCAACACAATATCAAGTTTATAAACGTCAGATATATGTATTTATTTAATATAAAATATTATTCTATAAGATAAAACAATTGCTTAACCAATGTCTTTAACAATTTCACAATTCTTAAACAAATACTTAAAACAATACGAATCAATGTCAACTGCGTATTTAGCATAATTTAACCTAAGTAAGTGAGTCTGTCTAACATCAAAAACTACACTAAAGAATATAATATTATCTTAAATACTAAAATAATATACGCCTTAAACTTTATACCTTCATAATTCATAGCAAAATATGGAGTGTAGGACAAAAGCCCTCCCGTCAAAAAGTGACAAGGCGGACAAAAGCCCTCCCATGAAAATGACAAGGCGGACAAAGGCCCTCCCGTGAAAATGAGTGGGCGGACAAATGCCCTCCCGTGAAAATGACAGGGCGGACAAAAGCCCTCCCGTGAAAATAATAGGGCGGACAAAAGCCCTCCCGCAGCAAATACATATATATGTACGTTGAATAGTTTATATTTTCTTTCGATGCACTCAACATATTAAAATTGTAATCATGAATGTTTTGTTTTCCATTGGCATAACCGTGTTTGTATGAGCTTGAGCACATTTCTGAAAGCCATCTGAATAATAAGTGCTAAAATCTGTAAGTGCATATTTATTCACGTAGATATGAAGGATTACTCCTATGTGAAGTTAGTAATAATAGAAAAATAAATGATAAAAAGAAGTTAAATTTATCTAACTTATAAGAGACTTATATAATGTACCTTGTAATGAGTCAATTACATTCAAAAGTGACTTTGTTTTCAACGATTTTCGTGTAAAAGTTACCTCGTTAAACATTTCAGGGAGATATATTCAGAATAAAAGGTAGTTCTAGCTCATACACATACGCGTTTACTTAGGCCAATTGAAAACAACAAGAAATATATGTAACAATTTTAATATGTTGAGTGCAATGAAAAAAACACAGGTATTCAACAAACATATTTATTTTTGTTATGGGAGGGCTGTCCGCCTTGTTAATTTCCCGGGAGGGCTTTTGTCCGCCTTGTTATTTTTACGGGAGGGCTTTTGTACACCCTGTCATTTTCACGGGAGGGCTTTTGTCCGCACTGTCATTTTCACGGGAGGGATTTTGTCCGCCTTGTCGTTTTTTGACGGGCTTTTGTCTGGGAGGGCTTTTGTCCGTTTCCCGCAAAACTAACAATTAAATAAACAATTATGTTTGCACGCTATAGGTACAAATCCCCGCTTAGGTGATGACATGCCCATCAATTAACTAAATTACTAAAAATAGTAGCATCTAGCCTTCGTTGATAAATATAACAAAGTTATTATTAAACATTAAGTAGAAAAAAATAATGTGATGAGCAGATGACGACGATGTCGTAGAACACGACGCTGATGATGATTACATATGAAATCGACTGTGATATTAAAGATTACATTACGTAATGATAGTGACGCGGAGCAGACGGTCCACGAACCCGACAACGACGACGATGATGACGACGACGACGATGATGATGACGATGATGATGATGACGAATGCAGCGTCGTCAGATGTAATGATAATGATGTAATTGATAATGATAACAATAATGAAATTGATGAAAATAAATAAACATAATTTATATCGTTGATGATTTTAATATTTGAACAGATGATCGAGGGTGGTGGACAGGTTGAAATACGCCTAGTAAAATACGTGAATCCTAATGGACGTACGGCTAATGGACGCTGCTGTGATCCAGGTAGAGGAAGAACGTGTGATGGGGAATGTGACCACAAATTCGTCGTTTGTTTGGATAATAGAAACGGGTCAGTATATTAAATATCATCGCAACCTTTCGGCCCTTTCTGGTAAGGACTATGCATAATCGTCGAGGGGTTACAAATGATAGAAAAATACTAATTTCAGTTCCGGTGTTGATGTCATAAGGTAGTAATCATCAATAAATAAAACTCATAGAATTTTTTTCTTTGACTGCATTAACAACAACAACAACAACAACAACAACAACAACAACAACAACAACAACAAAAGTAGAAATAGAATCTGAGAAACTTCTCAGAGGTAGCACATAACAAGCAAAGATGCTTTTATCAAAATCATGTACTATTTACTTTTCATTCATTACTAATAAACGGAAAACGTAAAAAATTGATCCCACATTTCAAACACATAAAAATGCAAATCAAATCAGAAACCATTTTTTCAGAAACTATTTTTATATTTATCTTTTTTTATATTATTTTTGTACAGCCCCACCAGTACATGGGCGTGTCCACATGGTCGCCTGATAACAGAGAGTGTAGATGACAAGAATTCAATAGTTTTTGGGGACAGTGTTGGCGGCAAGAAAAACCCGATGCTGTTTCCATTCAAGAGCTGGCCGGTAAATGAGCCGCGTCACGACAAAACCAACATAATGGTCTGATCAGGATTCATGCTGTTCGCTGTCAGTTTCTCTATTTGTTAAATGGTTTGTAAGCGAACATCATGGATCCTGATCAGACTGCGCGGATGCGCAGGCTGGTCTGGATCCATGCTGGTCGCAAATGCATTACGTTGGTTTTGTCATGACACGGCTCAAATGTTTTTAATCGAAGTTAAGCTGACGTTTTTGTCTAGTTAAATACTTTAAGATATATGCGCGCACGGAGTATAATATTATAATAGATGGCTTGGATTATCTCAATTCCATATTCATCCATTGATTTCTTAAGCGCCTGAATTTAACCTTTTAAACATAGTATAGAATTTTGCTGGATAACAAGACTACCACTATACATGTAACCATAACTGAACTGTCTTCCGGTCATTTATTACCGAGTATTGCATCTCGATATATTTCAATAATATTTCTAGTAGATTTAATAACATTTGTAAATAATATAAAAAATCATGATCATGCTATTTTATCAGTAGGCAAAACACAATAATTGCTGTTATTTCAGGGATCTTTGAAACTAAAGGTGAGAGTTGAAGACCAAGACCCGGGTAGCAGAAATGATTTCATTGAATTGCTCCGCACGTATCTCGACGCTACCCCGGCCAGGTCTAGGGAAGAGTCTACCGAAGAACCTATCTTCATTAATATGAGGACAAAGTAAGTGTAACAAGCTTATATCGTACAAAAATCTCTTAATATCATCATAGAATCTGATGATTTCAATGTAAAGGCGGACCTCAGTATTTGTGTTTATGGCTTAAAACATGTAAATTAAGGCACGGATATATTTCATGTTAATAATTATCATGTGATACCCGGATCTTATGATTGAAGTTATAAGTTTGTAGCATTTTACACATAATACAATATAATAGACAATTTTACACATATAATATAATACATATGTACACAAAACCGTCAGTGTATCTTTTGTCACTGAATTATGCGGTGCGAGGGGTTGATTTTATACATGGAAAAGTACCATGTACATGTGTTAATATCATTGTATCAGAAAACCATCTTTCTAGCTACATACAGTATCCTAACTGCCCGTAAGAACATTAATAGACCAAAACGACATTTTGTTATTAACGCCTGCTGTAAACATTAATAATCTGCAGTAAAACATAATTCGTGTCCTGTAGGCCTCGTAAATCGTCTGCTGTAAACGTAAATCGTCTGCTGTAAATATAAATCGTCTGTTGTAAACATAAATCGTCTGCTGTAAATATAAATCGTCTGCTGTAAACATAAATCGTGTGTTGTACACATAATTCGTCTGCTGTAAACGTAATTCGTCTGCTTTAAATATAATTTGTCTGCTGTAAACATGAATCGTCTGTAGTGCACATATTTCGTCTGCTGTAAAAATAAATCGTCTGCAGGAAACATAAATCGTTTACTGTTGCTTTTACGTCTGTTTTAAATATAAATCGTCTGCTGTAAACGTAATTCGTCTGCTGTAAATATAAATCGTCTGCTGTAAACATAAATTGTCTGTTGTACATGTCTGCGGTAAACATAAATCGTTTAATGTTGCTTTTTCTGTACACGTACATGTAATTCGTCTGCTGTAAACATTTATAGATGCATGTATTTAAACGTTTTATTCACAGATTAGAAGCGACTACCCGTGTATATTGTGATACGTTTTATCATGGTCCACTGTGTGTCACATTCTGCGAGCCACACAACAACGCCAGCGGTCACTATTCCTGTAACCCGGCCAACGGCGACAAAATTTGTATGAAAGGTAAAACTATTTTGGAACATGTATGTATTACTTGCCAAGAAACAATTTTTCCTAAGTTTTGACAAATTATGCCATAGAAAAGTTATATGTCAATATGTCACTCTATCATACTTATATTTACATACATGTACATGTAATTAATAAACTTTTAGGGTTTGTGTGATTTAAGGACAGTGATTTATTCCTCTATGATGTCAGATATCCAAAGTTTATTTTTGTTACCAGTGTCGATAGTTTCATAAATGTAATATTTGTTCTATTATGTTATTACATTCAATTTTGTAATTAAATTATTCTGAAACTAGGGACCAGAAGTGGAAACCATACATAGAGCTGCGTTGTACAATAATCGAGAGACTATTATCAATATATCTAATATGATTCATTTCTATTTTTGTAATGGTTATTTTCTAGTGATCAATGGCCCCTTGTTTAAATATTTGACAGGTCTCTATGTTAAACAGGTCTTTCGAAGTTTTTTGTTTTCCCCTCTTTGTGAATGCACTCATAATTAATCACATCAAAAGATGTTAAAATATGTTTTTTGGTGGGATATTATAAAATTTTAATTGACGCAATTGATATTTGAAATGTACAAAACAACCTGTTTTAAGATAACGAATTTGTTAATTTTTTAAAATCTTGAACTTTACTTACAAAATTGTTTACAATACTTAGTGTATGTTTTAAATGTTGCTCAATGATATACTAAAGTTTAGTTTACTAAAAACGAAAACCCGAACTGTACTGACGTTCTTTAAGCATTGCAAGGAAGAAATAGATGTTGGAAACGAACTTTTTTTTTGGCCGGAAAATTGGCAAAATGTATAACTAGTGGAAATGGCCAGATTTAGACAGAATGAACGAAAATGAATAAGTGTCTGGCGGATGATTGAAATATTTGATAATAATCCTCCCATGCTCCCAACAATTAACATTTTAGTATCTTTGCATTTTTACAGGTTGGTCTGGTGTAAATTGTGACAGGAGTCAGAACGACTGTGTTGGTCACAGATGTCAGAACGGTGCCACGTGCGTGGATGAAATTGACACATATTCGTGCAAATGTCTTCCTAGATACAAGGGTTAGTCTGATCCAATTTTTATATATACCCAGAATCACAGTCGGAACTTTTCGGCCCTTTCCGTCAGTCTTCGGTTAAGTTATTATGAATACATAGCTGATGACGTTCCGATTGATTAGAATCACTACCATGCTGGATTGACCCTGATATAGGTACCGTAATGTTGTCTTCAGTGCACACACTAAACTTTAAAGGAATAGCCTTTTTCCCCTTATATACCCGCTGATATGCCCTTTTTTCATTTACCATTGTCAAGATGTGAACGTAAGCGTTCTTATGCACATGACGTATACCGTTATTTATACGTTACGTTGTAGACGTCACATCCCGTTTACGTTACGTTTATCTATTACAATTAAGGAACGAACATGGAAAGACGTATTCTTTTAATACACTATTACAATTCTCGATAACCATGAATAATTAAACTGTATATTAATATAGATTCATGCACATTTTATACACTTCTGTTTGTTTAAAATGAAATACATTGTACGTTCACATTTAGATAGTCGCCATTCTTTCAATTAAATAAAATTATTGAAACTCATTCAAAATGAAATGATAAACTCCAATAGCGACTTTTTATCTAACATTTTGCAGGCAAGTACTGCGAGACATTCCATGATTTTTGTAAACCTACGCCTTGCAAACACAACGGAGTCTGTGAAAATATAGAAAGAGGCTTTAAATGCACGTGCGCTTTAGGTTATGTTGGGGATCAATGCGAGTTTGAGATCAATGAATGTGACCCTAACCCGTGTCAAAATGGCGCAGTCTGTCATAACCTAGTCGGAAAGTTTAAATGTGAATGTGTCGGATTCAAAGGCCTTACTTGCACTGATGACGAAAATGAATGTTTGAAAAATCCGTGTAGTAATGGTGGAACTTGTCACAATACCGTAGGATCATATCACTGTAAATGTACGAAAGAATGGAAAGGAAAGCATTGTGAAGTAGATATTAACGAATGCGCCACGAATCCTTGCAAAAACCGAGGGAAATGCGTGAACTATCTCGGAACATACCTTTGCAAATGCCCTGAGGGATTTACAGACAAGCACTGTACCACAGATGTCAATGAATGCGAAGCTGCTCCATGTGGTGCATTTGGTACCTGCCAGAACACACATGGCTCTTTTAAATGCCTATGTTCTGATGGGTTCTTTGACAGACTTTGTAACGCAGACTTTGATGAGTGCCTTACAAATCCGTGCTCAAATGGTGCAACCTGTGAAAACACTCCAGGCTCATACAAATGTATATGTGCAGAGGGATTTCAAGGTCAGAATTGTTCAAAAGATATAAATGAATGTCAAAGTACAAAATGCCACAATAATGGTACTTGTGTCAATACTGTAGGGTCATTTCACTGCGATTGCACTAGCAATTTTACTGGTAAACTATGCGTAGAAGATATAAATGAATGCATTGTTTCGCCTTGTGAAAATCGAGCACGCTGTAAGAATCTTTTAGGAGGGTTTGAGTGCATTTGTGAACCTGGATGGAAAGGTCCTTTATGTAATTATGACGTCAACGAGTGTGACCTTGACACCTGCAAGAATGATGCAACATGTGTCAACTCACGCGGATCATTTAGATGTATTTGCAAAGAAGGATTTGAAGGAAATATATGTTCGACTGACACTAATGAATGCGACTTCGGGATTTGTGTGAATAATGGGACGTGTACAAATACATATGGATCTTTTGATTGCAAATGTGATGATGGTTTCAAAGGGCAGACTTGTAGCGAAGATGAAGACGAATGCCTTAAGACGCCATGTGTAAATGGAGCAACATGTCATAACACCTTCGGTTCTTACCACTGCGAATGTGATAGAGGTTGGGAAGGAAAGCATTGCGAAATTGATATCAATGAATGCTCAGATAAAAACCCTTGTGAAAACAGCGGAGAATGCATCAACTATCTCGGAACATATATTTGTAAATGTGCTGAAGGTTTCCTGGATAAGCACTGTACAACAGATCTTAACGAGTGTGACCGGAAACCTTGTGGAAGTTTTGGATCATGTGAAAACACACATGGATCGTTTACATGTCATTGTAACAGTGGTTTTCAGGGTAGTCTTTGTAACTCTGACATTGATGAATGCGAAAACAGTCCATGCAAGAACAACGCAACATGTAACAATATACACGGCTCATACTCATGTGTCTGTACAGGCGGATTTATTGGACACGACTGTGAAGAGGATAAAAACGAATGTTTAGAGAACCCATGCATAAATGATGGTTCTTGTGTGAATTCCAGAGGCTCCTATGAATGTAAATGTATTACCGGTTGGCAAGGGCAACATTGTGAAGTTGATAGTGATGAATGCATTAATAATCCTTGTAAAAACAAAGGTACATGTAAAAATGTTATAGGCTCTTTTGCTTGTGAATGCAAAGAAGGATGGACGGGGAATCTGTGCCAAGATGATGTAAACGAATGTGAATTGGGTAAGTGTGAAAATGGAGCAACATGCGTAAATTCTATAGGGTCGTTCAAATGTATCTGCATGGAGGGATTTAAAGGTGAAACGTGCACCACTGACGTGAATGAATGTGAATACAAGATTTGTGAAAACAACGGTAAATGCACAAACACTCACGGGTCGTTTCATTGCAAATGTGTTCCTGGTTTTAGAGGACTAACTTGCAATGAAGATATTGATGAGTGCCTGGAATTCCCGTGCATCAATGATGCTACCTGCACAAATACCTTTGGATCCTACACATGCTCGTGTGCATTAGGATGGCAAGGAAAGCATTGCGAAAATGACGTCAACGAATGTTTAGAGCTACCGTGTGGTAAATATGGTGACTGTAAAAACTTGGTAGGAACTTTTGAATGTCAATGCTACCCTGGATGGACAGGAGAGTTGTGTAAAAGTGATGTTGACGAATGTCTCACCGATTCGTGTAAAAACGGAGGAACGTGTATAAATTCACAAGGATCATTCCGTTGTCATTGTCCTGACGGCTTTAAAGGAAGATCGTGTTCAGAGGATGTTAATGAATGTCATTTTAGTGTTTGTAAGAATAACGGAAATTGTACAAACACACATGGATCGTTTTATTGTAAGTGTAAGCCCGGATTTGATGGATTTACATGTAATGAAGATATTGACGAATGCTTGCAAAGTCCGTGCAGTAAACAAGCAACCTGTGATAACACCATAGGTTCATACTATTGCCAATGTGAAGAAGGATGGTATGGGAAACATTGTGAAATAGATATAGATGAATGTAAGGAAAAGCCTTGTGGTAGACACGGCAAATGCAGAAATCTTGTAGGGGCATTTGAATGTGAATGCAATCCCGGTTGGCAGGGACTTGTTTGTCAAAAAGATGTTAACGAATGTTATCAAGACGTTTGCAAAAACAACGCACCATGTAGAAATTCAATTGGTTCTTTCACATGCTTTTGTCCAGACGGATTCAAAGGAAATGAATGCGAAGAGGATGTAAATGAGTGCGACTCTGGAGTTTGTAAAAATAACGCAACATGTACAAATTTGTATGGTTCCTTTGACTGTAAATGTGAAGCTGGTTTGGTAGGACTCACATGTAATGAAGACGTTGATGAATGTTTGACAAACCCGTGTAACAATGGCGCCACATGTCACAATACATTCGGGTCTTTCTATTGTGAATGTTTAGAGGGATGGCAAGGCAATAAACATTGTGATAGTGACACAGACGAATGTGTGGATAAACCATGTAAAAATAATGGAATTTGTAAAAATCTTGTTGGTTCGTTTGAATGCGAATGTCAGCCAGGTTGGACAGGCCCTCTCTGTGATGATGATGTAAATGAATGTCATTCAGACGCTTGTAAGAATGATGCACCATGTAAGAATTCTATTGGATCATTTAGCTGTTTTTGTCTTGAAGGATTTGAAGGCAAAATCTGTGCAGATGATGTGGACGAATGTAAATATGATATATGCAAAAATAACGGCACGTGTACAAATACATATGGATCGTTTGACTGTAAGTGTCTGCCACAGTTTTCAGGTCTTACATGTAACAATGATATTGACGAATGTCTTGCCAATCCCTGTAGTAATGGAGGAACTTGTTATAACACTGATGGGTCGTACAAGTGTGAATGTGTTACTGGGTGGCATGGGAAGCATTGTGAAATTGATACAGATGAATGTAAAGATAATCCATGCCAAAACAAAGGTGTGTGTAGAAATCTGGTAGGATCGTTCGAGTGCGAATGTAAACAAGGTTGGAATGGGACGATTTGTACTGACGATATCAATGAATGCCTTTTAGGCGGATGTAAGAATAACGCATCCTGTAATAATTCACAAGGATCTTTCAGTTGTTTGTGCTCTGAAGGCTTTCAGGGGAAAACATGTGCAGACGATGTAAACGAATGTAAATACGGAATATGTGAAAACAATGGTACTTGCACAAATACATACGGCGCATTCGATTGCAAATGTGAAAACGGATTTAAAGGGTTAACATGTCATGATGATAAAGATGAGTGCCAGAAAAATCCGTGCAGTAACCACGCAATCTGTACAAATACACACGGATCATACACGTGCACATGTGCTGATGGTTGGCAGGGAATAAACTGTGAATTCGACACTGATGAATGCAACGACAATCCATGCGAGAATGGTGGAGTTTGTAAAAATCTCGTCGGTAGCGTTGAATGTGTTTGTGTACCTGGCTGGAAAGGCGTATTTTGTGCAGATGATGTCAATGAATGTAATAAAAATATGTGTTTAAATAATGCTAGTTGTGTTAATACCCAAGGATCTTTTAATTGCCATTGTACTGAAGGATTTAATGGCCCAGTATGTTCTGAAGATGTGAACGAATGTAATTATGGAATTTGTGAAAATGGTGGTACATGTACAAACACATATGGTTCTTTTGATTGTAAATGTTTAAATGGATATAAAGGTATTACATGTGACGATGATGTAAACGAATGTGCTGAAAACCCGTGCAGCAACGGAGCAACATGTCATAACACCAAAGGTTCCTATACTTGCAAGTGTGTAGACGGCTGGATAGGGAAGCATTGTGAAATTGATACAGACGAGTGCAGTAAAAGACCTTGCTTCCATGGGTCGAAATGTAGAAATATGGTAGGTTCATTTGAATGTGAATGTAAAATGGGATGGTCTGGTGCCCTCTGTGAACAAGACGTAGATGAATGTGCTATTGGCATGTGCAAAAACGGCGCAACATGTTTAAACTCACATGGCTCGTTTGTTTGTTTCTGCTCTGAAGGTTTTCAGGGAAGTGTTTGTTTAGATGATGTAAATGAGTGCGAGTATGGCATTTGTGAAAATAACGGAACCTGTATAAATACGTATGGTTCATTTGATTGTAAATGCGCACGTGATTATACAGGTCGCACGTGTAAAGACGACATAGATGAATGTGCTAAAGAACATCCATGTAGCAATGGAGCGACATGTCATAATACAGTAGGATCATATAGTTGTGAGTGCGCGGAAGGCTGGTATGGTAGGCATTGTGAAATCGATGACAATGAATGCACGGAAAACCCGTGTGACAACAACGGTATATGTACAAACACATACGGTTCATTTACATGTAAGTGTATGAACGGTTTCACAGGGTTTACCTGTATTGAGGACGTCGACGAATGCTTGGAAACGCCGTGCAACAATGGTGCTACTTGTAGCAACACATTTGGATCTTACTTTTGTGAATGCCGAAATGGTTGGAACGGAAAACACTGTGAAATAGATGTTAATGAATGCGATTTAAATCCTTGTGAAAATAATGGAACATGTATAAATACATACGGTTCCTTTAGATGTATATGTCATCGTGACTTTTCAGGTTCTCTTTGCAATAACGATATAAATGAATGTCTCGAGAACCCGTGCAGTAATGGCGCCACGTGCCATAATACCGTCGGGTCTTACTTTTGCCAATGTGGGGAAGGTTGGATGGGGAAACTCTGTGAAATTGATCGCAATGAATGTATTTTGAAGCCCTGTGAAAACAACGGATCATGCACAAATACTTACGGTTCATTTACTTGTAAATGCAAGCAAGGTTATTCCGGATTTATTTGTCACGAGGATGTTGACGAATGTTTAAGGAATCCATGTAGTCATGGTGCAATCTGCAGTAATACGATGGGGTCATATGAATGCGAGTGTGGGAAGGGATGGCAAGGGATGAACTGCGACTTAGATATGAATGAATGTGACAACAATCCATGCGCTAACGATGGTACATGTATCAATTCGCTTGGGTCGTACATTTGTCAGTGTACAGAAGGCTTTAAGGATGCTCTTTGTACAACTGATGTAAATGAATGTGATAAATACCCATGTGGTGATTTTGGAACATGCGAGAACACATATGGGTCCTTTACTTGTAAATGCGCAGATGGATTTTATGGTAGACTCTGTAACTCGGAGCATGATGAATGTGCGGACAGTCCTTGTGCAAACAACGGAACATGTTATAATTTACCTGGAACCTACACCTGCAAGTGCGTTGAAGGTTACTATGGTAAGAATTGCTCATCCGACGTCGATGAATGCGAACTGATTGAATGCTTCAATAATGGAACATGTTTTAATACATTCGGATCGTTTTACTGTAAATGTGAGGATACATTTTCTGGAACATTTTGCGATGACGACATAAACGAATGTCTTTCGTCACCATGTAAACATAACAGCACGTGCAATAATCTAAAAGGGTCATATGAGTGTTCCTGTACAGCCGGTTTCGAAGGTTTCTTCTGTCACAACGACACCGATGAGTGCTTGGCATCACCGTGTGGCGACTATGGCACATGCCAAAACAATTTCGGTTCATATTTATGTTTATGTCAAAGTGGTTTCTACGGGTTCCATTGTAAAGAAGATGTTAACGAATGCGAGGGTTATCCATGTAGTAATAATGCTACATGTGAAAATTCACTAGGGTCATTTAGCTGTTCTTGTGGCGACGGGTTTGTAGGTAAGCTGTGTCAAGATGACATTGACGAATGTTTGCAAGATCCATGTGTCAACGGAACATGTAATAACACGTACGGATCGTTTGAATGTATATGTGAAGATCGTTATCGAGGAAGACTATGTGACACATACGTCAGCGCACTTGTTAAAGTAAGTTAGTACAAGTATTTTAAAAAATGAATTATATAAGTAAATTTTTTATCAACATAAATTCAACTCAGTACTGCAGCAAAACAATAATATGATCTCCTTTTGTAAACTGCAGATTATTTGTCGCAGGTTTTCATTACATTTACCTTAAATAACAAAACGGAAACTACGAACCAGTCTATATATCAAAGAGACATTGTCTTGATGGTTGTTCATTTATTATGTATATTAATATATATTAACAGGAGTTTGAAATTGTATCTTAAATCATAAATTAAATAAACCTGTTTGCTAAAACATAGAATACTTATTTTAAATGGATATTATTAAAATATCGATCGGGACTCTAAATTTCTTTCGACATATCCGGAGTTTCAGTAAATTAAAATTTGACACAAACGGAATTGAAATATATTGATGAAGAGAGATGTTTGACAGGGCTTTAAGAATTCTTCCAGTAACCCAGAATATCGAGTAAAGTGACTTTTGAGTAACTGAGATTCAATTGTATAATATTTATATTTCAAACTGCGTTACCATTGTTAAAATTACATTTAACAATTCATTTCTTGAACAAACATATGGTCATAAAAGTATAATAAAGGCATTAAGGCAATTAGATTTGTCCACAGACACTTGGGGTGTGGAGCTTAAAACGCCTTCAAAATACAAATAACATGTATATTTGTCAATCCCAGCACATGTACTGATCATATATATCAAAAAAACTTAATATAAGCCCTTTTGAAAAAATTTCATATTTCAACGTGTATTATTATAGACGTTGAAATATGATTCTTATATTAAGTTTTTTTTTATATACAGTATATGATCAGTACATGTGCTGGGATTGACAAATATACATTTTATTTGGATTTAAAAGCGTTTTAAGCTCCACACCCCAAGTGTCTGTGGATTTGTCCATACAAGATTGCATAAACAATATTTAATATACTATTTCAAAGGGACCGATAACCAAAACCATATTTGCCTAGTTTTATATCACATGATATGACATCAACAATGTAGGTGTAGTATATATTATATATAATCTTACCTTTGTAATGTCAGCTTAAATTTATCTATAAATAGCTTATGATGTATTTAAGTCCTAGTTTGAAAGTGTTGAAATATAATCTATATCATGTGATATTTATATACGGTATAAGTATACGTGTGTGACATTATGGTTACAGATAAACAACTTGAAAACAGGTAGATAACCAGTACAACTACGAAATGTATATTACAGCTTTAAGATAATATCTTATATACGAAATGTTAATAGAGGGTTCAAAATATGCCTTTAAGAAGAAAACAATCTGCTGATGTTTCGCCATTTTTATGTTTTAATGTTAAATTCTGCTGAAGCCGGTGCTAGGGGGCATCGAGCAGGCTCAATTCGATCAAACCGGGCCTCGACAATTTTAATTTTGCTGTTTTCTTTCTTTCTTTCTTTCTTTCTTTATTTATTTTTCTTTTTTTTTTTTCCGTCTGTTTCTTTCTCTATTTGAGGACATTGTGCTAGTGTATTTGGTCTTGTGTTTGTTTTCGTTTCGTTATATTGATTTTAAAGATATATAAGGTTTTAAATCAATAAGGTGAGAATTTGCCTTAGATGTTCTAATTAGATGACCCTTCCTGTTCTTAATTAGATAATAAATCAGTGCATTTGTGTACTTATATTTTAAAACAAAACATCCCTTAAACAAAAACAAACGATATAAACCGTAAGAGTTATCATAATAAATGTCGGGATGAAACAGTCATACTAAAAACACTTATAAATAATTTCGCAAATTAATATACAACTGTATTGTTCATGTTTCAATTTTATAAGTTCATTTGTTTAAAAAAAACACATAAGACATTTGCCTAACAGCGATACTAAAAACAACTCTAGTAATTTAAAACGAATGTCAATTGTCTATTTTTCAGAAAAGCGGCTGCAAATCAATTAAGTAATAAAAAACCCCAAATAAACTGAAAGTAAACTCGTTCTTATGTTTAATTTATATAGGGAACATAATACCAAAGACAAGTAGGAAGAAGTCGTACTGATTTTTAACCCATGATATAAATGAGTTTTGTTTCTGAGAAAGATATATTACGTATGGGGAGATACGTTTAAACATGTATATTTTTTTTTAAAAGCAAGTCGCATTGATAAAAATTATAGCGTGTAATCATTGAGGTTTATGTAAATTTACTAAAAATATGTAGGAAATAAAATATCTATTTCATATATTTTTCTGAAAATGACACTTTGGTTTGTTATATCTTCAATAGCTCGAAAACCATTACAAGATATTATGGTTTAAAGCAGCATGCCTCCATATTCATTAAAAATTTGAAAAAGTAATTTACTGTCAAGTGATAAAAAGAAAGTAATTCACACAATGCAAACGGCACTTACAATACCCATTAATTACAAAAAGAGACCAAAATATACAAAAATAGCCCATACTAAGTTAATCACGCAGTAGAAATATGATGATAATTAGGGGCCTACTGCAAAATCAGTTATTAATCAGTTATTAAATTATTACACTGAATCTTGAATCATTTAACTTTTCTTCAAATCAGACTACATTTTTTCAAGTTTGATTTTCTTAAATTATTTTTACTTTTCTGGAGGCATGCAGCTTTAACTGCCCTTCATGCACTCAATTACACTTTGAACCAGTATTTCGGGGCTAACTGTCATTCGTTTACAGTAAATATCAGAATTTATATATTAATTGAAAAAAATAGTATTTATACTGTTAAATGTTTTAATGATACAGGTACCTTGGGCGACGTCACATTGGTACGCAATACTGGCGATTGTAACAGCGGGTTTGATCCTCGCCGTACTGCCAGCGGTGATTTACATCAATAAAAGGAGGTAAAATTTAGTAAGACTTTATTATAAGGAAATCAATAACTACTAGGTCCACGACAATGTTTCCTCGTGTCCTATGCACAGGAAGTTAACTTTAAAGTGATTCAATTTAAGCTACAAACTTTCACTACACTCATCTTAAATAAAAGTGCTTAAAGTACGGTTATATTGAGAGATTTTATCATTGACTTAATAAATAATAAGGTAAATATTTAATAATTTTCCTATGCTTAAAAGGAAATATTTTTTCTGAAACTCTCAAATCATTTAGCAAAGAATTACATGCTACATTTAATATCCATGTAATCAGCATTTTATGTGAACCTTGTGTTTGAGGAAAGAAAATCATCACGACATATTTGATACACACAATATTCAGTGCAGTGTCTCCGAATAAACAGTACGACACTTTTATTTTCCTTTTCTAAATTTAGGGTGGCAGCTAGATTCGAATGCACATTGTATTGTATGTTATTTTTTATATTTCATTTGTTTTGATTGTGTAAATTAAATATTTTCTTTTAATGATATAGATTAGAGAAACCACGGTCAAATGAGAGCATACGGAAATGGGTTACTCCAGAAGACCTGACCTTCAGTGGGTACGATAATATTGAGTACAACAGCGATACCCCGCAATACGGTCAGATAATTCGGTATCTAACCCCACACTGTGCACACAGATAATCCGGAATCATTCCTTCACCGTGCACACAGATGAACATGCCATTGATTGAGAAAATTACATGAAAAATGAAATTGTTAAACTGTTTCATATTCTGCAATAAAGAAGATAATTTAGAAGATACTCTGACATAATTCTTGGTAGTTTAGACAGTGTTAGAAAGGCTCTGAGAATAAGAAAATAAAAAAAATTCAAGGACGAAAATGAGAGAAGGGGTAGGGAAAAAATATGTCTGAAAGTAGATCTTCACGCCTGCAGTAGATCTTACCATGAATCATTTGTTGGTTTGAAGAAGTTTACTAATGAAATAAATATTTAAAAAGATACACGCATAGGACGTAACACTAATTAAGAAAGAGAAATTAAACAATATTATACATGTATATTATGTAATATTAAATTCGCTTAAATGTATGAACCATTATATCTTATTAGGTTTTAATGTGCATGAATTTTTAAACTTGACATGTCAATTGTTTACGTTTAGTTCAAGTTTTTTCCCGCACGTAGCAGACGACATATTTGGATGCAACAACATGTTTTAACTCTGAAGAACATTGACCTTGCAATATAGATAACCTGTATACAGTTTTATATCACTTTCATATATCGTGTTTATGTACAGTATATATAACATAATTATATGCTATCATTTTGTCAACTGATAATATTTGTTGAACTTGGTAACCCAAATTTATATGTACAGTATTGTTAATCATCGAACAAAGTTCAACAATATATAAGTATATTTAAGTATATCTAAACTACATAATAATGTCAACACCGAAACCTAAAAACCAAGGGAGATAACTAGTATAGAAAAAAAGTAATTGCTGTACAATATTAGCTGATCTTTACATATACCTTGTTATCCCCCTAAGTGCTTCTAAAGCATTTTAATTTTGGTGTACTTTTATGGTTTCTAAATAGCTATTCATTTAACAATTACCTGGACTATCTTTTTCTTCTGTTGCTCTTGGACAAAAGTACTGTACCGTTATGGTGAAGCAATATATTGTATGGAAGTCAAAATTCTACTTTGTTTTATATTTTGCTTTTAAGGCAAACAATTTCTTATACCTTCTTCATTTAAGAAGCATTTAACATGCTCTAATACTGTCATTTAAATATTATAAAAGCCAGATATTTGCTCTTTCTAAAGAAATAAAAAAATATGTCTGAGCTTAACATTGTTTCAGTCATGCACCAGCTTACATATTTCCCCACAGTTTAACAGTTTTTTAGGCATAAACCAGAGTACAGTTCAGTTTATCGCCAGTTTGATAGTAATTCAATAAAGTTCAATTTATTGCAAGCTTTACAGTCATTCAGTCTTGCACTAGCGTACAGTTGAATTTACCGCCAGTTTTACAGTTATTGGGTCTTGCACTAGCGTACAGTTGAGTTTACCGCCAGTTTTACAGTCATTCAGTCTTGCACCAGCGTACAGTTGAATTTACCGCCAGTTTTACAGTTTATTGGGTCTTGCACTAGCGAACAGTTGAGTTTACCGCCAGTTTTACAGTCATTCAGTCTTGCACTAGCGTACAGTTGAATTTACCGCCAGTTTTACAGTTATTGGGTCTTGCACTAGCGAACAGTTGAGTTTACCGCCAGTTTTACAGTCATTCAGTCTTGCACCAGCGTACAGTTGAATTTACCGCCAGTTTTACAGTTATTGGGTCTTGCACTAGCGAACAGTTGAGTTTACCGCCAGTTTTACAGTCATTCAGTCTTGCACTAGCGTACAGTTGAATTTACCGCCAGTTTTACAGTTATTGGGTCTTGCACTAGCGAACAGTTGAGTTTACCGCCAGTTTTACAGTCATTCAGTCTTGCACTAGCGTACAGTTGAATTTACCGCCAGTTTTACAGTTATTGGCGTCTTGCACTAGCGAACAGTTGAGTTTACCGCCAGTTTTACAGTCATTCAGTCTTGCACTAGCGTACAGTTGAATTTACCGGCCAGTTTTACAGTTATTGGGTCTTGCACTAGCGAACGGTTGAGTTTACCGCCAGTTTTACAGTCATTCAGTCTTGCACTAGCGTACAGTTGAATTTACCGCCAGTTTTACAGTTATTGGGTCTTGCACCAGCGAACAGTTGAGATTATCGCCAGTTTACGGTTATTCAGTCTTGCACCAGCGAACAGTTGAGTTTATTGCCAGTTTACAGTTATTCAGTCTTGCACCAGCGAACAGTTGAGTTTATCGCTAGTTTACAGATATTCAGTTTTGCAATAGCGAACAGTTGAGTTTATCGCCAGTTTACAGTTATTCAGTCTTGCACCAGCGAACAGTTGAGTTTATCGCCAGTTTAACAGATATTCAGTTTTGCAATAGTGAACAGTCTAGTTTATCGCTAGTGAAACAGTTACCCAGTTATAAACCGGCGTACGACGAAAGACCGGAAGTGACATTTCATTTTCTTGAATTTTCGGGCTCATCTTCTCCCCACATAAATCATTTGAAAACAGGGGTAAGGGTACAAATGAATATTTAAAGATATGCATTCATCAACTTAATTATGGGTGCACCTGACTTCCGCCTAGGAAACGAACACTAGTGGGGCGGGAAATTGAGAAAATAGTGCAAATTGTGATACAAGCATGAAACTTTCAGGAAATCATCTTTAGACCATGTAGATTTCAAAAGTGAAGTGGGCCCAAAAATATCTCTGCTCATTCAAGATGGCCGCCATTTTCAAGATGGCCGCCATATAAATTTGACATACATTCTAGCTCATTCATTCCAATTTTTTGTACAGACCTTTAACTAACACAAAATCATGCATATAGTTTCTCCTTTTCAAAAAATTTAAATCTCACAAAATTTCTCTTCATACTTCTTCCAAATCCAAGATGGCGTCCAATATGGCCGTCGATTTTTGTGAAAAACTGTTATACACTGGAGACCCATATTTTTATAGTATAATTTTGGTGCACAAATTATGTTTATTATGATAAAAAAGGTGTTTAACATATCAGAGGATAATCAATTATATTGTTAATCTCAATAAAAAGTAAACATTTTAAGTTTTGTCTAAAAAATATCGTTTAAAAAAGATCAAGAAAAAAATCCAATTTTTTCATTTTTTTCAAATTTGAATTTCTAAAGTAATTTACAAAGTTAAAAAAGTTACTTTATGTTTAAACTGTAGAGTTTGACAGTTATATTGATAATCATGCTCGTTTATTGTAAAAAATGTAAGAAAGCATTAAATCTGTAGGTTTTATATTTTGTGAACAGTGGGTGTGGGGTAAATTTATATGATACATTGTAAAAGAAAAAACAACAGAAAATCTACATAGCTGAGTTCATTCTATTTCTTTGTCTTTTACTTTTCTATAAATTCTTATTCAAATGTTCCAACTTAAAAAGTACTTTTTATTGGATGAAAAGTATTTTGTCTTCCGTTCGGGCCATTTGGTGGGTGAGCAAAGAAATGCACATTACAACATGTGTATACCTTGCAGTTATTAACATTGGTTGCATGATAATTCTTGTTTCAATATATTTGATATGCATGAGTATTAATTGTGTAATTGTAAAGACATAATAGAGAAGACAATAAATGCAACTAAACGTGCTTAAATATAGCAAACATGTATTTGAATGTAAGGTATAAAGGTAGTCCATAAACGCATATTTTGACTCCACCACAATTTTATATTATATAATATAAAAGATGGCTTAAAAAGCCAACAAAATGTATGTGATGTGAAAACAATATATATCAATGATATGGCTGGCCTGCAATGCAGAGTTTTTGAAAATATTAAGATACAAACTAATGTACTAGTATTCTCCTAAAGTAATCATATCTTTATTTTTTCTTTCAATAAGAGGGGTAATGATGACCCTGAATCACTCACCTAAGATCATTTGTTGCAAAAAATAGGTAACAAGATCATTTTTGGGAGTGCTCAGGTTAGGTCAATTATGTCATACACACATGATGTGTGTCATAATTGAATCCGTTGCTTTTAAAGAAACATGCTGCAGATATCTGCTTTCAATTTTTATTTATTACTGATGAGTACTTTAATAACCATATCTATATGCGAGTCCAATATAAACTTAGTGACCTTTTTGTGTTTCGGTAAATTTGGACCATGTGTGTCACATGGATATACTCATAATATTATAACATAATTTAAATGATGATTACAAGATTAAAATAAGTATAATATGCGTCGATAATGTAGGTTAATGAGAAAACAGATTTAATTAGCAGTAGTATTCCGTAAATTAATGTGAATACCCATTGCAAAACATTTTAGACTTGCAGTAGCATCATACAAATTTATGCATGTTATATCAGTCTAACATCCCAAATATCTTATTTCAAGTCAATGTAGTTTAAGCACTAGATGTTTTTAATGTGTTTTCCTATACAAGTGAACCCAGTTTGGCTAATATGAGCTTTATTCATTAATATGTGTTAATAGAAGACCCAAGGTGGTGCTACAGTGCCAGCTTGGAGTACGTAGTGTGCATCTACGTGCATGCATTTGGATGGATTGTTTGAGAAGAATTTTTTCTATTGGCATGTACAGCTTAGTGATGATCCAGAAATTGTTTTTGTCACACTCTTCATTAAGAGGTGAGTTGCTTTAGCTTGGGCAAGGTAATGATTTTTTGACTATCTAGAGCTCTAGTTACAGTTTGTTTTGTGTTTTGTTGATTTTTTTTAACAACACAAACAAGCTTCATGCGATTCCCGTTCACAAGTCTGTTAAAAACGTGTGTTCCTCGTGTCGGCGCGCTTTAATATCATGTTCCTGTAGTCCAAAATGGCTTCTCTCTGTCACTTAAGTTTGACTTGACTCAATATAAAATTCTTTCCCGAAAGCTATGTGCACAAGAGAAGAGGAAAATATATCATAACGATTGTGATGCTATATCAAGAATTATAACCTATTGCATAAGGGTCAAGAAATCACTTAGATTTACATAGGACTTTGTATTGGAATATAAGTTTACTCACTGAAGTCTTTTTGTAGTTCTGAGAGCACTAGTTATTGGAACAGTGATTCTATTTCAATAGTTTTATAAAACATGACCTGGTGCAAAATAAGATACTCCTTACATGATTTTAGCATTCTTTAGTATAACAGAATTATATACCGTTTTCCAGCAGTGGTCTTAGGCGCGTGATTCTAGGGTCACAATCGCTCATCTGTTTTAATGGGAAAAATAAAAGTAGGAATAGCATTTAGTTTTATATTAGATTCAGTATAAGCTATGTTTGTTTATGTGGTCAAGGCGGTTTTTATTGATACTATTTTAGCACACACTAGTCATTAGATCACGTAAATGGATGTATCAGTCGATTTGTTTCTTTATGAAAATATCATTTTCTACATAAGTTTATTAGAAATGGACGTACTAATTCAATTATACTGGTTCCACAATGATGTGCAAGTAAACATGAACTTTGAATACATTCTGTTTACAAGCTGTTTTAGCAAGACTAAAAGTTGTGGGCAGGATAATAATTATATCAAATAATCAACATTTACTAAGGTGCCAGGCATGATTTTTATACTAACATATGGATATCGTTGAATGAATATTCTTGTCTGTAACAATTAATAAATTGTATAAAAGAATATTCGAAACAACTTATATCATGCAAACACTTATTAATGACGTGAATTATAACATATGAAATTGGTATCTGGCATATTGTTTAAATAAAATGATATTTTAGTACACCCTCTAGACGCTGAAGGAAAACAAAACAATACCATTAATACAATAAA